CATCTCTGGATCCCCTGCACTGTGAGAGAAGGGTTTTATTAGCATTCCTGGCCTTTACCTCGCTTCCCTTCCTTGTACTCTCCAATCTGTTTTGTTAAAAGAATATCCCGTTTGGCCAGTTGGATTCCTGTGGGGATGTAATTGAAAGAAGGATGCCCCTACACCTGCTTTTCATTCAGTGCGCTACTGAAATTCCATCTCCCCCATGAAAACCTTTTGGGACTCATTGGGAAATAAGAGATGTATCTATTAATACAATCTTATTAATGAAATAATAGCCTAGGAGTCCATGAACCTTTAACCCAAAGGACCTTTGTCCTGTCAAGTATTAACAACTAGAGGGAAATACAATCAGCTTTGGCTGTGCCCTAAGCAAGCAGTGGCTTATTTACCTTTTCCATGCCCTTTCAAGCCACAGGATATAAAACTGTTTTAGTAACACAACCCCTGTGAGAGCTTGCTGGTGAACTCAGTGCCATCACAGTAAATTTTCAAGAGAATGTATGTGAAATGTATTCTTCTCCTTGAATTTCATATTGATAAGTTGATTTAAAAGCAAGTCATTTGTTTGGAAAGGAACCGTATCTTCCCTATTACTGAGATTACTGGAAGAAAGAAGGCCATGAGCTGGGGAGTGCAGCACCCCTGCCACCTAGTGGTTCCTCCTGCTGGTACACTGCTCTTGCAAAGCACAGAAAACACAAATTGAGTTAGTTATATAAGTCAGATACAGCAATTGTCCTGAACCTGGGAAACTTCCATTCCCTCCTCCCTTTGTGAAATTAGAAGAACAAAAAGAGCACTGACAAGGGAAAATGTTGTAGGTAAACATGGATAGCCATCAGGTCTCCTGCGCAAAAGGGGCAGCTGTAGGAACAGGAAGTATAACAAATGCGCAAAGAAAGGGACAGGATTCCTCAGCAGGGGTCACTTCAGCAGCAACACGGGCCAAAGACAAAGCAGAATCAGCAGGATGATCAGCAGGGACTATGATAATAAATCCACATAGACTCAACATCAGCAGCAGCCCTAGAGATTGTGGCCTTGGTAATATAGTACTGCTTGACTCAAGATAAACTGATCAGGACACTCAGAGAACAACAACAGAAATGAGCATTTACAGAGCACATACTCCGTTGGGACAGAGTCTTACCTTATATCACATAATAGTCTATGGGGGTAGATATCAGCCCTGTTATACAGGTGATGAAATTGAGGCTAAGTGGCCTAAAGGCACAGAGCTAATGAGACTTAGATTCAAATGCACACCAAGGAGGCCTGACACCAGCTGCAGAGCTCTTAACCACAGGCATGCATTGCACAAAGAAGGAGATATGTTCTGAGAAATGTGCTGTTAGGTGATTTTGTCATTGTGCAAACATCATAGAGTGTACTTATACAAACCTAGACTGTATAGCCAACTACATGCAGTTAACAAAAGACCATGAGGCCGAGCATGGTGGCTCACACCTGTAATCCCAGCACTTTGGGAGGCTGAGGCGGGTGGATCACTTGAGGTCAGGAGTTTGAGACCAGCCTGGTCAACATGGTGAAACCCCATCTCTACTAAAAATACAAAAATTAGCCAGGTGTAGTGGTGCATGCCTGTAATCCCAGCTACTCAGGAGTCTGAGGCAGGGTAATCACTTGAAGCTGGGAGGTGGAGGCGGCAGTGAGCTGAGATTGTGCCACAAAGGATCCAGCCTGGGGGACACAGTGAGACTCCATCTAAAAAATAAAATCTGCAGATTGGGGAGATGCAGCCTCAGGTGTAAAACGGAAGTGGGCTCTAAGCGGAGCAGAGAGTTAAAGATTGCAAAGGCAAAAACTTCAGGGCATGGTAGGGTAATCAGGGGAGTAAGAAACAGAGTCTTGTTGGCCGGGCGCGGTGGCTCAAGCCTGTAATCCCAGCACTTTGGGAGGCCGAGGCGGGTGGATCACGAGGTCAATAGATCGAGACCATCCTGGTCAACATGGTGAAACCCCATCTCTACCAAAAATACAAAAAATTAGCTGGGTATGGTGGTGCGTGCCTGTAATCCTAGCTACTCAGGAGGCTGAGGCAGGAGAATTGCCTGAACCCAGGAGGCGGAGGTTGCGGTGAGCCGAGATCGCGCCATTGCATTCCAGCCTGGGTAACATGAGTGAAACTCTGTCTCAAAAAAAAAAAAAAAAAAAAAAAAAAAGAAACAGAGTCTTGATTGGATGGGCTTAAAGCCCCAAATCATCAGTCTCTCTCAATTGACTGGTTCCAGGTCGTCAGTTGATTGGCACAAGGTGGTCTTTTGGTGGTCAGTTGGGGAATTCCCAGCTGCCGTTGTTTCCAGGAGCTCTTCGACTTGGTTGCAGAAAAACAGGTTTTGCAGCATTCTCTAATAACACGAAGAGCTTGACCACTGCCTCACCCTGCCATGGGTGAGCCCCTCGGGTCTGCTTTTACTTTTGAGCCACAGGGAGTCCATGTTATCTGTTAACTGGGGGTATAATTTGACAACACCTAGGCTGTTTGATATAGCTTATTGCGCCTAGGCTACAACCTGACAGTATGTTACTGTACTGGGTACTGTAGGCAGTAGTAACACAATGGTAAATATCTGTGTATCTAAACTTAGAAAAGGTACAGGAAGGCAGAGCACAGTAGCTCATGCCTGTAATCCCAGCACTTTGGGTGGCTGAGGCGGGTGGATCACAAGGTCAGGAGTTTGAGACCAGCCTGGCCAAGATGGTAAAACCCCGTCTCTACTAAAAAATACAAAATTAGCTGGGCATGGTGGCAGGCACCTGTAATCCCAGCTATACAGAAGGATGAGGCAGGAGAATCACTTGAACCCGGGAGGTGGAGGTGGCAATGAGCTGAGATCACACCAGTGCATTCTAGCCTGGGTGACAGAGCAAGACTCTGTCTCAAAAAAAAAAAAAAAAAAGAAAGAAAAGGTACAGGAAAAATAGAGTATTATAATCTTATGGGACCACCTTTATATGAGGTCCACGCATTCACTGAAACTTTATTATGTGGTGCATGACTGTGCTGTGCTTTTGTTCTTCCCTCAGGGTGGAGGGAATGTGATTCAATCACTCTAACTCTACTGACTTTCATATTGAGGGATGTTTATGAATTGGAACTCTAAGATGATTAAGATTGGTCCTAGATCTGCCATCAACTTTCAGAAGCATATTTAGCCTTTCAGGAACATTTTCCTTGGCTGGAAAATAGGGATAAAATGGTGACTATCTCACAAATTGCTGGGAAGTTTCATTGAGATAATAAGGTAGTTTCTAGCACATGGCAAATGAGGTAGATTGCCTACAGAGGTTTTTCAACAATTCTTCTCATTGTTGTAAATACCACTCCTGCTTTCTATAAGAGGTGGAATCTGGGCTGCGTTTATGATTTGCTTTGACCCCCTAGAATGTGGCAGATGTGTCATTGGCTAATTCCAAGTCTAGGTTGCAAATGCTTCCTTTTTCCTCTATTGGACTGCTCTTGCCTCCATGTAAAAAAGCCCAGCCTAGACTCTTGTATGATGAAAGACCTAGACTCTTGTACGATGAAAGATGTAGAAAGAGGCATGAGGGAGCCAGCATCCCAGCAGAGCCCACCATCTGACTACAGCCACACAAGCAAGCCTAGGTGAGACCAGGACTCACCTGCCAACCCCTAGGATGACAAGAAATAATAAATCATTGTTGTAAACTACTAAGTTTTGGGATAGTTTGTCATGTAGCAAATAATAAGTTCTCAGTTACCAGTTACCTGTTAATATTACAATTGGTGCTGGTGAGAGATTCAGCCAGCTAGCTGGTTCATCATTTCTTAGGCCACTGATTTTTTTCCGTTTCACCACAAGAATTACACGTACAAATGAACACTGCTTGTTACAAATGTGTCTGATCTCTTTATTAAAACAGAAGGATTATTCAGAAAGTATATTCAGAAACTTTGTTAGCACCTCAAATTGCCATCTATATTTGAAATAATGTGGAAGCATATTTCTTCAAACACATTTACAACTAAATCTGTTGTAGTGGGACCATTGTAACCATTATGTTGAAGAGTCTGAGGCATGGACAGGGAGTTATCCTTTTCATCGAGTATCTGAAAGCCCTGAAGATGGTGCTTTACTCTAACCTTCTTCTCCTTTACATTGCCCTCCCTAAATTCTCTTTTTTTCTTCATACGTATCCTTTCCCTCTCTCCTTGCTTTTCCCATTTCTTTTCCTTGTTGTGATGATTAAATAAGGACTTTCCTACTAAATGTAAGCTCCAAGAAAGAGATTTTCATCTGTTTTGTTCTCTACAAAATATTCTTTGCTTAGAACAGTGCCTGGCACACACAGGTGTGCAGTGAATATGTGTTCACTGAATTAAATGATGCATGTAAAGCACTTAGGACAGTGTCTGACATAGAGTAGATGGTGCTCAGTAAATATAACCTATGACAACTCAGTACTGTAACAAATGAAATTATTCACGTTTGTCTTTTTTTTCTCATCACTCCTTTGATTACACAGTTCAGGAAAAAGGATTTTGTACAGTTAGGCTCAAATGAACAGTGGACCCACATGGCAGGGCCAAGCAACTAGAACATGATTCAGAAATCAGTCAATGAAAGACACACTTGGACAGGACCAAGAGGCATTTCATTGCCACAAACAAGGTGGGGGAGGGATTCCAAAACACACAGCAGGAAGCATTTCTACCCCTCAGAGGTCAAGGAACTTATCCCATATTGGTATGAGGAATGGCTTATTTTCTGATGACCACACGTAGGACTATTTCAACTGCCATGAGAAACCCCAGAAAGGTTATTGTTTTGTATTATTTATACATACTATAAATACCTTTTTTTTTTTTTAAGTAAATGTAACACATAAACTAAATTCAGGATTGATCCCAATCTTCTAGAGCCAGCTTCTCTGGGGTCAGGGAGGAAGCAGTTGTCACATCACCATGCTGGTTACATTAATCTTCTACTGCAATGACTAGAGTCCCCAGGCAGTGGCCTGACTACTAAGAGCACAGAACTGGCTCCTGGGGACAGACAGGCTGTCTTGCTTCACTGGTCATGGCTTAGCATGGTTTTTCCCCACAAGTCCTTAGTAAACAAAGCACTTGCAAATACCCAGGTCACTACCTTTAAACTGTCTTGGACAAGGGGAGCTTTTCTATAGCTTGGATGGAGAACCCATGCCCTGGAAGTGCTGTTCTGACTAGGTTGTGTGAAGAGAGTGGCTGCAGGAAACAAAATGGCTGAAATGAAAATGGGAGCCACTGGTCTCCATCTGCAGCTACAGCTCAAGATGCCTATAGATGTGGTCAGTGTGACATGTGCAGGAGGGAGGGGCAGAGGGACGTGACAGGCAGGGAGGGTGCTCCTGGGGACCGTAGCCTGCCTGCTGGCCTTCACTTCTTGGCCTTGCCCTGGGCAGCCACAGCGTCCATGGCTTTACACGTGGTCTCTCCATCCCCCAGGAATTGCATGCGCCTGATGGGCTTCAAGCTCTTGTCCCATTCATAGGCAATGGGAATACCAGTCGGCAGGTTCAGCTCCATGATAGCCTCTTCAGAGAGACCCTCCAGATGCTTGACAGTGCCCCGGAGCCTGTTGCCATGGGCCGTAATCTGTACCTGTTTCCCCTCCTTTATCTGGGGAACTATTTCTTCCTTCCGAAATGGCAGAGCTCTGGCAATAGTGTGCTTCAGACTCTCACAGGAGTGTAGCCGATCTTTTGTGAGGTCTGCATACCTGAGATCCTTACTGATGTTCCTGTAGAAAGGATGGTTGGGCTTCATTGGTGGTGATGGCACATCATAGGGGTGCCTCCAGATCTTCACCTGGGCCTCATCCTGCTTTGTAGCAGTGTCTGCGTTATTGAGACCAGTCACACCCACATAGTGCCACTCATTGAGGCACCAAGTCTTCACTACTGGCAGCCACATCCGATCAATGGCATCTAGCACTGTCCAGAGGGTCTGGATCACTCTTTTCTGTACTGAGGTGAAGCAGATGTAAACCCCATAGCTGTCATCTCACAGCATCTGCCTGCTGCACTTCATCTCCTCATGGCCCTCTGGGCTTAGGTCAGTATCATGCCAGCCACTAAAGTGGTTCTCCAGGTCCCACATACTCCCACCATGCAGGATCAGCACCAGTTTATAGGTGGCCGTGGTGGCAGGCTGGGGATGCAACGCTGACTGGGGTTCGCAGATTCCAGAGGCACATTTGTCTTTTTAAATGATTTATTACTTTTAGTCTGTCTCCCTTTTCTTTTTACTCTTCACTTTCTTGTCCTGTTTTTCTTTTCTTTCTTCCTTAGTCATTGCATATTCTCTGCTATTCTCACTGTGTTCTACCAGGGACCCTCATAGATGTCATTTCACCTAACACAGAGAATGTGCAGAGAAAAGGTTTTGGAGCTTTGTCTTGGATGAAATATAACTACTTGTGATTCATAGCTGACTTAGTACTGCACACAAAATTCTACTGTTGAGGTGAACCCAATTCTGGTGTTACTGAATATTTTAATGAGGAGCCTAGATTATTGAAAATGGCAAGCTCATTAGGTTGTAGCCTAGCAAATGCCTGATGGTACATGTCTGTGAGTGTGTGGGTGTTTCTAGTGCCTGTTCGTGAGTAACCATGATACTTTTGGCAGTAGAAATGTGAACAAAATCAAGTAGTACTGATCTAGCCAATTTTCTCTTCTTTTCCTCCGTAAGGGAATAGAAATGTACTACTTAGTAGTTCAGTTCCTTCTCAGGCTAGTAACATTACAGAATCCCTGTTGAAGTGCAAGCTGGGCTGGTGGAAATCAGATTCCCACATCCTTTTATAAGCTTTGTTTGTCAAGGTAAATCCCATACATTTTAAACACATGACTTCCTAGGGCTAGATGGGAAAATAAGAAGCTTTGAACCTATCACCAGAATCAATTGTACAGATGTCTCCATTTCCCTGAATAGTGATTCATATAGGAAGACCTGTCTCCTCTTTTCTGCTAGTCTTTCATATTCTAATCAGGAGTATGAATCTGCAGGTCAGTGGCTGAGTAGCTTGGGCGAAGCACGGAGTAGTGTTAATGTAGTTCTCAACAAAGCCTTGTTTATGCTTAGATTAGGCTCATTGGTAGCTCAGACCTCATAGCCCTGCTGATATTTGGCAGAATCCTGCATATATTCTTCCGTAACGTAAGACCAGTGTTTCAGAAACTGCAAGTTGGCCCTGTCTCTACAAATAAAAAAAAATTATCATTTAAAAAATTATACATAGATTTATGCCTGCTCACTAGCCAGGCATGGTGGTGCATGCCTGTGGTTCCAGCTACTTTGGAGGCTGAATCTCTCGCCTGAATCCAAAAGATTGAGGCTGCAGTGAGCTGTGATCACGCCACTGCACTCCTGCCTGGGCAGCAGAGCAAGACCCTGTCTCAAAAACAAACAAATAAATAAACAAATCAACAGAGTTGGGAGGAGAGTGAGTCTTTGGGCCTTCTTGTCATCTTTCCTCAAAATTGCTTTTAGTTGTACTATTCTTATTCCTCCCTTCAAGCATCTGATCATCTTTTAGGCAGTAACTTACCAGCTCTCGTTAGGAGTTAGCCAATATAGTAAATCTAGGAAGCAAACCTAGACTCAGGGTAGTGAGATTTGGAGGCATCTAGACCATCAGTTCTTGAACATGCTCACTTAATTGGGTCAAGAAAACCCCAAAATATACCTACCCTGTTTATTTCACTTCTGGTGGGAGAATAATTTGGTGAAATAAAAAATGAAAGAGGAACAAAATAACAACCAAAAATGGCAACATCATAGCATGTTTAATCATAAAATGATTAAAAATAGAAAAACACGCCTGTCATGCTGGCGAGTGACTATAGTTCTAGCTGCTTGGGAGGCTGATGTGAAGGATCACTTGTGCCCAGGAGTTCAAGGGTGCAGTGAGCTACAGTTTCATCACTGCACTTCAGCCTTGGTGACAGAGTGAGACCCAATCTCTAAAAAATAGAAAAAATAAAACATTTAAAAATAGAAAAACAACATTACACTGTAATATACTAAAAAAAAAAAAAAAAATCCTTGAAAATTGTGAGAACTCCAGCAACTTGTGTTTTCATATGTGTAGCAAGAAATTTGCATCATTGCCAAACTTTCTGTGAAGAGCAGTTTTCAATAATTGGCATAATCGTGCTTTTTTTGGTGAATATAAAATTTTAATTACCATTAATAATTAATGAAGGAAGCTATTAAGGACTTAGTCATATGTAAAAACGAAAGTCCCTGGCTTGGCACTTGCTGTAAGTGTTAAAGAAAGAACTTGCATTTCAAAATTTTTTCTTGGTTCTTCCAGAAGACTAATGGGCCATACTGTGCTTGGAGGCACTATGGCCTACATGACTATGACAGTCTTTTTTCTGGGCCTTGTCTGCTCTTCTGTTCTCTCTTTTTTTTTTTGAGATGGAATCTGGCTCTGTCACCCAGGCTGGAGTGCAGTGGCGTGATCTCAGCTCACTGCACCCTCCATCTGCCAGGTTCAAGCAATTCTCCTGCCTCAGCCTCCTGAGTAGCCAGGATTACAGGTGCCCGCCACCCTGCCCAGCTAATTTTTTTGGTATTTTTAGTAGAGACAGGGTTTCACCATGTTGGCCAGGCTGGTTTTGAACTCCTGGCCTCAAGTGATCCACCCTCCTTGGCCTCCCAAAGTGCTAGAATTACAAATGTGAGCCACTGTATGACCTCTTTTGTTTTTTTTTTGAGATGAGGTCTTGCTCTCTCACCCAGGCTGTAGTGCAGTGGTGTGTTTATGGCTCACTGTACCCTTGACTTCCAGGTGGGCTCAAGCAATTCTCTCACCTCAGCCTCCAGAGTAGCTGGGACTACCACTCCTGGCTAATTTTTTTATTTTTGCAGGGATAGATGTTTCTCTATTTTGCCCAGGCTGGTCTCAAGCTCCTGGCCTCAAGTAATCCTCCTGCCTGGGCCTCCCTAATTGCTGGGATTACATGCATGAACCATCATGCCTGGACTGCTTTTCTGTTTTTGAACCTGAAACTGCTCTCCAAATCTTTGAGTCACAATCTGGCTTGTACATTAAAATGATCATTCTATTGGTAAAAGTATTGGATAAGACCTTCCTAGGAGAGTATTTGGCAACAGGTCTTAAATATTTATCCTCATTGGCTTGGCAATTTCAGTCCTAAAGAAAAAATTATTAATATGTACAAAGATGTATGTACAAAGTTTTTTTTATATTAGGAAATATAGAAAGATAGTAGGGGATTGGTTAAACAAGTGATGCGTTTCCATTGGATAAAATCCCTTCCTCCCTCCCTCCCTCCTTCCCTCCTTCCTTCCTTCCTTCTCTCCCCTCCCTACCCTTCCCTTTCCCTTCCTTCTTTCCTTTTTTTTCTGTCACCCAGACTGGAGTGCAGTGGTGCAATCTTGGCTTACTGCAACCGCTGCCTCCTGGGTTCAAGCGATTCTCCTGCCTCAGCCTCCAGAGTAACTGGGGATTTAAAGGCACCTGCCACTACCCCAGCTAATTTTTGTATTTTTAGTAGAGATGGGGTTTCGCCATGTTGGCCAGGCTGATCTCAAACTTCTGACCTCAGGTGATCAGCCTGTCTCAGCCTCCCAAAGTTACTATTACAGGGATGAGCCACTATGCCCAGCTTGTTTTCTTTATAAAGATGCTAATGAGACTTACTGATACAGAAAAATTATTCTCAAGACTAATTTTTAATTTTAATTTTTAAAAGTAGGGCAGGCTGTGTGCAGTGGCTCATGCCTGTAATCTAAGCACTTTGAGAGGCCAAGACAGGCAGATTAGAAGTTCAAAACCCTGTCTCTACAAAACAATACAAAAATTAGCCAGGCATGGTACTGTGTGCTTATAGTTCTAGCTCCTTGGGAGGCTAAGGTGGGAGGAGAGCTTGAGATGGGAGGTCAGGGCTGCAGTGAGCCATTATTGTGTCACTGCACTCTAGCCCGGGCGACAGAGAAAGACCCTGTCTCAAAAAAAGAAAAAAAAGTAGAGTATATAACAGTATGCATAATATAATCTCTTTTATATAAAGATATATGCCTATTCATAGAAAATGGCTGAAAGTATATAATACAGTGCTAATAGTAATTATGTTTTTGTACTATTAAGGATTTTTCTGAAATGTCTGCAATAAACATATAAGACTTCTGTAAAAAAAAGTATTTACATGTACTTGAAACAGAAAACGATTACTTTGGCAGCACTTAAAACAATGTGAATGAGAGAGACTGGATGAGAGATTGTTGTAGTGGTTCAGGCAAAAGGCAGCGCAAGTAAGAACCAAGGTCATGGTGTGGATGGAGAAGGAAAAGCTGACTTAAGACATACTCAGCAGTCCTATGAGAACTAAGAACACATTCCACACCTCCAAGTCAATAATAAAATTGGTCTTTCAAAACAGCCGGCATGATTCTTCCATATCCTTATAGTAGCTTCAAATATGCATTTGAAGAAACTTGGGGTTTTGACTTTCTAACTTGTTTAGCTAAGTTAATGGACATACACTTGACCAAAAAGGAGAATATGAGAGGAGGATCAGATTGGAAGAAGATGAATTCAGTTTTGCATGTGTGCAGTTTGAAGGGCTTGTGGGACATGTACTAAGAGCTGAGCAGGGGATGCTGGTGGACAAGGAGGCCACTGAGAAGACTGCAGAGGTGTGGTGGGCCCAGACAGCCCAGAATGGACTAGTCTGGGTTGAAAGCTTGTTAAGAATGACCAGTTGGATAAGTTCAAGGTTGCTTTCATTTCAGCTTGCTGTGAAACCTGCAAGTAATCAGCACAACAGGCACAGGGAATGAGAATAATAAAAGCAAGTGCGTCAGGACTCTGGAGGTTCTTCTGCCTCCTCATGGAGTTGTAACCAAAGTTTAAGGGTCAGTGCAGCCGTTCTCAAGTCTGATCTTCAATTCTCTGCTTTTCAGGTTGGGAAAGCCCTTAAGAGTCTAAGTTCTACCACTTAAGGCAATTCCTTGCTGTGCCATAAGTGCATGTTCATGTGTTTTCTTACTGCCTCTTCACCAGCAT